AGTGCAGATAATGCAAGGGTGGGAAGAGGGAACAACAGGGAAGAAAAGAAGCTCTTAAAAACTAGGACAGAAAGAACTTGGCTGAACTCAAGCTACAACATGCACATTTCTGCCCCCCTTAATGCTGCTTCTGACATCCACCTGTGCTGGCAGTAGGAAAAATATAAACTGCTCAGACTGGGAGGATCAGGGGACAGGTGAAATGGGGTATCTGAATCCCTGGGCTGGGAGAAACATAGTCCTCAAAGCTAATCACTTCCAAAGTGAATTTCCTCTGGACTTGACCTCCTTTCAGTACAAGGTTACAAAAAAATACTTTATTCCAGTATAACTGGGTACAGTTATTACTCTTCTATAACTAAAATATTTATACTGGTATAAAACACTTCTGTGGATGTAGCTGTATCAGCGTGTGCATTCCTCATAGCAAGACAGCTTTCTTCCTCTGCTTATAATGGATTACCTAAAACCATCTTACAGTGGCTGTATATCCTTAAGACTATTGCCTGCAGTAGAAGGGAGCACAGTTTACTTCCAGCTGCAGGAGCACATGTCTCATGTTGGAAGTCCCTGCCTGTCCCGTTCCTTTCAGAGACACAAAACTCACTCTGACATACACCTCTTTAGAAATTACAGCACATTCGGGTTCATCAAATAGGGGCATCACACAAATTAATTAATGAGCATTTGTGCAGCACTGTGAAGATTTTAGGTGCTAAGTATTATTATTACTAATTCAATCTACATCCCCATTCAGTCCTCAGCCTCTCCTGTGAAACTGCCAGCAGTGATGCCAATTAGCAGTAATTGTGGTGGTGGTTTCCTGACAAGGCTATTTGCCAACGGGGAGTGAGACACAGACCACCAACTCATTTCCCGTAGACTGTCCCACAGGTACCAACAGCAAAGACTTCCAGGCACAACAACCTGCTCACCAATCCAGGCAGAACCCTGGCAGCAGCAGATCTTGTATCCCATCACAGCTGTCCCATTACAGCTCCCTAGGGACACAGCCTGAAAAGCACATACAGAGCTTTTAATTAGGGATAAACCAAGGCACCTTTTCGGTTTAGGTTTGGTTTTGTTTTTTTCCTCCTACATTAGTTCAGTACATGACCCAACAACCGATGCCGATACTGCAATGCCAAAATGCTAATCTGTCATAATTTCAGTTTAAACTTTACTCGTTTCCATCCATGCTTGATGGAAATCACATTCTGATTCACACACAGGCCTCACTGTGGTGGCAAACTGTAAAGGCAGCAGCACTAAAACTAAGGGAACTGACAGAATAGGGTGCAGTAAATCTTGTACTAGGGAGAACTGTTAAAAGAGTTTTAATATAAGCACAGAGGTGCATCTCGTTATCATTTGCCCACAGAGATTTGGAGGACTTTAAAGAGACGTAAACAACTAACAGTATTCTGTAATCAATGCACATCATCTTAGCACCGAAACTTTCAATTATTTATATATTTTTAATACATCTAATTGAAAGGACATCACCACATAAACTGTATGAATCATAGCTCTCTCAAGCAATTAGATTTGTTATCCCTTCAGACTGCAAACAGTACATTGGCTTTTTATTCTAATGCGAATTCAATCCCTTGTCAGCTGCCCCACGCATGAGAATACACCTCCTCTCTTTCATCAGGAAAGATATCAACAGCAGGAAACTAGCCCTTCTTTCATCTCTGAGGCACCCACCCACCTTTCCAAAGGGTTTTCAACCAGGTGTGGAAATCTTTCTGAATCTGTGCTGAAAGATCCTTTAATTATTATGGCAAAGGAGGTAAATCCTTTGAGAGCAGCATGCTCCAAGCAGCAGCCTTCTGGTGTTTACTCATCCAGTAGTTGCTTAGTTTGACAGTGAGTTAGAAGAGCTTGGAAGAAATCCTTTAGAATCTATTGTATGGGCATGAAACTCTTACGAGAGGAGCTGCTTTTTCAGATGTCTTGTTATATAATTAAACAAGGGGGGGTGATAAAAAGCAGCAGCAGCAAGCTGCCTTTCTGGCACAAACCTTACACAGCACTCAACCTGCCAGCATATTGCATCAGATTCCCACTGCAAGGCCAATTCACAGCAGCTGAGTAGCCGAACCCTGACTGTTATCTCCAGCTAACCTACTTCACACTCAGAAGGCAGTAAGTAGAACTGTTTATTGCATCTTCCTTCCTGAGGAGCTGCTCACTACACCAGGATTAGTGGGGGTTTGAGCTTGCAATTAGGCTTGAGGTCTTACAAGCTTTAGAAAAAGTATTTTTTAACAAATTTGAAACATCTAACACTACTGTATGCTACTCAGCAAGTAAGCTCCAGGTATCTGTTACTCTGCAATCAGGTCTGTCGAGGTTCTAGCACTGTGATGACTAATATTCTATTACGTTCCTAGTCATACTTTGAAACCCCGAAGAAAAGGGGATTAATTTACCCATCATCAAGTATTTATCAAGGAAGTCCCTCGAGATTTGCAGGAAGGAGACCACACAAACAGGCCTTTGCTCACAGGTCTCCTTACCTGAACACCTGGCCAAGGCCCCCTGACTCTCCTGCCCTGGCAGCTTTTTTTTTTCCCATGACAGAGATTCACTCCCAAATAGGACACTATTCTTTACAGCAGAGGTCCACCCCAATATCAGCAACAGGGATTCTTGTGCTCCTCACTGAAACAGCCTATCACAAGCACTTTACAAGAGGAAATTAAACTTCTCAACACTCAACAGCAATCCAGAAAACAAAAGGTCCAACAGTCCTGAATTCAATAAAATAAGATATGGGACCTTCTGCACCACAGAAATAAGTAAGAACCTACTCCAAAACCAGCAAGTCAACGGAGACTCCTGTTGATTTCAAAGGGCTTTGGATCCAGCCTGAAAATGCAAACCTCACTGTGCATTCAGACACTGCTCCACAATGCACTTCCAAACAAAACTATATTTAGATTCAATGGGAATTCTGTAGATCATACAGGAACTCTTTGAATGAAAATGAAGGTCAGTAGGGTTTGGCTTCCTCTACAGACCCTAACCCCCCCCCCCCCCCCCCCCCCCCATTGTTGCAAACATCCAGATAAGCATTGTTTAGAAAACAATACCTTACTTCCAAGTGTTATCAAAACCCTAACACACGTTTTGTGTGCCCTGAAACAGAATCTGAGTCCTCGCTGCATTTTGCCCTGTCAGCTAATCTTGTCTCCTCAGGTGTCTAGGCATGACTCCGTATCAAGACTTTTTTCACTTGTACCAGCTTTGAAGTTTTGTTTCATGTGCTAAAGGAAAAGGGGCAAGAATAACAGAGTCCTCTGATACACAGAAAACAAACAAGGAAAGGAAGAACTGAGCAGACTAGAACACACACAAATAAAGCTGCACACATGTTAAAGGAAACCTCTGGCATCCCCATGCACTTTCTCCATTCATCACCAGACATGAACGGCCATCGTGAAGCACAACCTGGAAGAAAATGACACAGCTCCGGCTTGCGCGAGTAACACTAAAGGCAAGAACGAGCCCACCAGCCAGAGAGGTACATTCAAACACCCAGGCTGCGTAAGAGCAGCAAAACCATACCACTCAAAGTTTCCTCCAGTGCCACAAAGACCAGTGGGAAACTTTCAGCTTCATTTTGTGAGCTCCTCAGAAGGAGGAGCAGCTTCTCTTAGGAAGGATGAAACCAAAGCCCAGCCGCAACACCGAGCCGGCATCCCCGAAAGCGTGTTACCACGGCTGGGAGGCAGAGGCGGTTCCCCCGGGGCGGCCCTGGGCACCCTCACGGCACTCGCCTGCTCCCCGCTCCCTTCGCCCAAGTCGCTACTATTCTTGGGCTTTTAACTGTTTCTGGCTGTAGCAGAGAGCGAGTGCTCAGCCGCACGGGTTCCCTTTACCAGAAATCTTTGAACTTTTGAAGAGCCCTCATGGGTTGGAAATCACCGTCTTTGCCATCACGCTGTCCTCCCAGACCCGCGGGGGTACACACCTGATCCCACCGGGGCTGGGGACCAGGCCCCCGTGTCCCCCATCACCACCTCCCGCGAGCGTTCAGCGGTGCTCGGACGGCCCAGGCGCACTTACCGGTGGGGCGTTGGGCGGGCAGCCGCCGGCGGCCAACCGCGCCGCCTGCCTCCTCAGCTCGGCTAGCTGGGCCTGGCAGCTCCGGCACCAGACCCCGGCCGCCGCTCGCTCCAGCGGCCGCGGCTCTACCCCCGCGGCGGCCCCAGCTCCCTCGGGCGCGGGGCGGCTGGCGCAGCGCTCCTCCTCGGCGGCGGCCGGCGGCCTCTTCCGCGGGGAAAGCTCTCGGACTGTGCTCCCCTCCGCTACCTGCGGAGAGAACAGAGCTCAGCACCGCGGATCGCGGAGGCAACGCGGCTCCCAATCTCCTCGCGGGGGAAAAGAAAGGGGGGGGGGGGGATGAAAAAGGAAAGTAAAGGAAAAAAAAAGGAGGCCTAAAGTAGGGAAGGGGAGTGCTGTAACAACTTACCCCCGGCGCCCGGGGCTCAGGGCCCAGACCCTTCCTGCCAGCAGCCGTGATCATGGTAGCGGGGGATGCGCCCCTGCCCCGCTCCGCTAGAGCGGGCGGTGAAGTGCCCAGAGGAGCGAGCGGCCCGCAGCACCCATGGTCGGACGGCGGGCGGAGGTGCCAACAGTGAGTTCGCTGGTTCCCCGCAGTCCAGACTGCGGCTCTAGGTGATGTTGCCTCCCATGTTGAGGAGGGAGAGAAGTTTGGGTTGGCAGAGGGAGGCGGAGTGAGCTCCACACGGCGGCACGGGGAAGGACGCGGAGCACGTCGGCAAAAAAAGCTGGAAAAGTGTAGGGCAGGGAGGAGGGGCTGGGCGGGGGCGGCGGGGTGGGGTGGGGTGAGCGGGGGTGGGGGGGCTCGGCAAAGACAGGCTGGGGCTTAGGTTTGGGGTTGCGGGGCGGGGAAGTGCCATTTCATAGTGACCCTGACAGTCCCAAGCCGGTGTGACTAAAGCGCGGACACTCCTGCAGTTTCTCCTTCAAGCTCCAGCACCCAAGTTCCCGGAGAGTGAGGAATAAAAGGGCCGAGCTGCGGGTACCGGTCCCACTGCGGAGCGTTGCGGGTCGGAAAGCCGCGCAAGCATCGGCCCTTCGCGCGGGCCCGGTGGGTGTAGAGCAGTTGCAAATGGGGTCCAGGGGACGGGCGGGGTCCGCTCCCGCGGCCGACGCTCTCCGGCGTAGAGCTGGAGGCACCGTACGCCCCTTCGCGGGCAGATGCGCGGTGCCTCGGGGCTCAGCCACCCCGGGGGTCGGCCGACTCCCCAGCCGCTCGGTGGGCGTGATGGGATGTTCCTACATGCGAAAATTGACTTGACAGATGAAAATTAACGCTCGCAGCTAATTGTCTACTTGGCTGCCGCTGCGGCTCCTACATTTAGCACTTCTTTTTCCTGGTTGTGTCACCAGAGAGAGGAACGTGAGCCACTGTGTCCCAGTGCCCCCTCACTGCCCTGTCCCGTTGCCTCGGCCTGGTGGCTGTGGGCAGGGGCCGAGCCGAGACTTGCCCGGGCACCGCAGCCCGGTACCACCGCCCCGTGCCTGTGACCAGAGCACCACCTGCCGGCGCCGCCGTGCGGCTGCACACGGGAGCTCCCAGTCCCACCCAGGACGGACCCGGAGCCGGACCCGGCACCTCGCGTGGGAGCCGCGGCGGGAGATGGCGGCGGCGGGGGCTTCCCCCAGCGATGCCAGTCACGGCTCCTGGTCTCCTTGCCCGCCACCGCGAGGGTAGGTGCTGGTGGCTCTCGAACACGGGGTGGGGTCTGCGAGGATGTGAGAAGCGCCGAGCACAAAGAGTGGGGAAAACATATGTGGAGGGGAATAAATTACCCCTCCTCCAAGAGGCACCTTCCCCAGCAGCTCCAGCTACCCTGGCTCTCCCGAGAACGTGTCCAAGGCGCCCCCTTACCCCAGAATGGGTGGATGCCCCAAGGAGAGCCGGAGCCATGCGCTCCCCGGCACTGCCCTGAGGGGGCCCGCACCGACGGCAGAACCCCAGACGCTGTGGCAGCTGCCCCGCCCGTCCGGGCTGCCCGCATAGAGACCGACAAAAGTTTTGGTTGGGAGGTGAAGAGGACGGACGGGGGAGAGCAGGCTGTCACCCGGAGGCTGCCCCGTGCCCCTCTCCGGGACCAGCAGGGACTGGGACTGGCACAGACACCGGCACCGGACGTCGCGGACGGCTCCCTTCTCCCTCCCGCTTGGGACTCTTCATGTGTCCGAATAACAGCAGCACAACGCTCCAGCGTCCCCTGGTCAGGCTGGATGGGGCGGGGGCCGAGGGGCTGTGCTCTTCAGCCAGCACTGGGGCTAAGCAGCGCTGCTCGCCTGAACCTCCTCGTTTTCCCTCTTGGAAACAGCGAGACACGGTGCTCCCACGCCCCGCTCGAGGCCAGAGACACGCAGGGCGCCGCCGCGCGCGGAGGAGCCCCAGGAGCGGGCCTGCAGCGCGGTCCCCCCGCGCCGCCCTCTCGGTGGAGCCGCCAGGACTGTTCGTGGTGCTGAAACCCGCCCCGGCACTGCCGCCAACTTCGCACCGCCAAGTTGGCCACCCCCTTCCCGTGAGCCGGCTCGGGGCAGGGCAGGCAGCGGGGCCCCCCGGCGCCCTCCCGATCCCCAGCCCCCTCCTGATTCCCAGTCCCCCGGGGCTGGGCAAGGTCCCGTTACCTTGGCTTTCCGCCGCAGGAGGTGGCTGGTGAAGCCGAAGATGATCTCCGAGTCCAAGCACAAGGCTCCTATCTCCAGGAGGCTGGGGTTTTTCCTCGTGGCGTTGGAGGCATCGGGCGATTTTTGAAAAGCCATAGTTTGGGGTTGGAAATATCCGGCTCCCTGAGCGGAGGCGATGTATTTGTATAAACAAGCGGGGGGGAGGGGGGAGAAGAAAAAAGGAAAAAAAAAAAAAGAAAAGAAAAAAAATAATAAAATAGCAAACACCTCCCACCTCTTAAAAAAAAGAAGGAAAAACAAGAAAAGAAGCCAGACGCGGGTGACTTACTCTGTCACCCGCCGGGATGCGCGCTGCCGGGGTGAGGTAGCCAGCAGCCGGGCAGACCCACCAGCCTCCCGCCTTTCTCCGCCTCTCCCCGCTGCTATCCCTCCCGTTTTACCCCCCCTCTAGCGCACCTTGCCTGACGAGCGGGCGCGGTGCGGGCCCCGCTCAGCGCCCACCCGGCGCCGAGGCCGGGGCCGCCGGTGCTCTGAGTGAGCGGGGCCGGCAGCGCCCTACTCCCCCGCCGCCGGCCATCAGCTCGCCAAGCGAGGGGGCTCCCACCGCCCGCTGGCCAGGAGCCCGCCCTGCGAGCCTCCTGCCTCCCCTCATCCACTGCTGGGTGGGTTTAGTGGCTGGGTTGGTGGGTTTTTTTTTTCCCTCCTCCTTCTCCTCCTCCTCCTCCTCCGGGGTGAGCACAAGGAGGGAAAAGCTGCCAGTGAAGTCAGTTTAAGGGGGTAAAAAGACACGCACAAGGAGAATAAGGGTGGAGGGGGAAGGAAACAAAAAGAATAGGAAAGAAACAAGAAAAAAAGGAAAAAAACAAAAACCACAAAGCTTGACGGAGCAGAAGTGAAGCACTTTCCGGAAGGGATCCGGCCTTTCACTCCACTGAAAATCTTCCCCCTCTTTTTCCCCCCTGCTTAATTTTATTTGCGGTGGGTGAGGGCTGCGGGGAAGGAGCGAGTTCTTCCTCTCCGAGGAGGGCCTCAGGGAGAGGCAGCCCCCCCCCCCCCCCCGCGCTGCGTATCCTCACGCGTGTCCCAGCCTCGGCTCTGGGCCGTCCGCCGAGGCGCGGCCCGTCCCGTCGGGGCGGGCGGCATGAATCGGGCTCCCCGGGGACTCTGGGCAGAGAGCTAACCCCCTCCCGGGCACTTTCCCACTGAACAAACACTTCGCACCCCCGGACAAAAGCGTTGTCTCGCTTGGCAACGCCCGCCGTGGAAGGGAGTTGAACAATAGGTTTAGCTGGGCTCCACGGGGCAGAGCGACCGCCCGCGGGCTCCGCACCCGTCGCCCCGGCCAGCACCGGGAGCTGCTGTGGCGGGGTGGACACGGGGAGCGACGCCGCCGCCGGTCCCGCTCTCCCCTCTGCAACCGCGCCCCGGGCTGGGCCGAGGTCCTGCCCCGCTGGCCGGCCGCGACCGGCACGTCGGGTGGAACTGAGGGGCGGGGGAGGGAGGGAGTGAGGGGGAAGGGGTAGGGGAAGAGGAATAGAAAAGGGAAGAGAAGGGGGAAGGGGAAAAGGAAGAGGAAGGGGAGGTCTTAAGTCTCTGTGCCCACAAAAGGCCACCATAGCTTATCTTTATTCTGAATTTACCAGGTCACCTGGGCTTCCAGCTAATGATGAGCCTATGTGTTAGAGGACAGAGGTGCATTAAGAAGTGGCTCTGTATGATGGTGGTGGAATACAGGTGTCACAGGCAGGGCACAGGAGGGTTGCTGGAGGGAGGAAAGAAGGATGGGAATGGTGAGATACATCAAAGGTGTAAGGATTTTTTTGACTCCTTACTGCATCCCTTACTGATGTAGGCATCTCAGTCCAGAGATGTACCAATATGTGAGCTGGTTCCTGAACCTACCTGGGAGTGGAGGATGCAAGGACCCGGCCCCTGTGCCACCTTGCACAGACTCATCCTGTCACAGACTTATCCTGTCACTCATCCAAGGCCCATCCCAGCATCCTGTCTCGCTGTGCACCATTATGCATGCAAAGTCTTCCAGCACCCTCCCCTGCACAAGTAGGACATTGCCCTTCACCAGAAGATCCCTGTGCTTGGAAGGTGCCACTTTACTAAGAGAGTGGGAAGGAGAGGGTGAAGAGGAGGGCAGAAGGAAAAGCAATTCAAGCAAAATGGTGGTGTGGACTTCAGCTGTCCAGGTAAAGTGTCCCACACAGGCTCTCAGCCCACATGCTTAGCATGAGGTAGAACAGTGCCCGTCACCAGAACTCAAAGCATGAAATGTCATTTCCCATGCACTGGGCAAAGAGGCTTGGAAACATCCAAGGGCAGAGACAAACATGGACAGGCCAGGGAAGCTTGTTTCCCAGTTTGGAGGAGGCCTGAGGACTCTGCCCCATCTCCCGTATCTTCAGCCCAACCCACGTTTAAGCACTCACACCATGCTGGTCTGGCCCCAAGAAGAGCCTGGCTCATCCCAGCCCCCCAGGCCACCTCTAGGCTACCACATCTCCCTTCCCCACCACAGTTTGCCCCTTCCCTGGCTCTTCGCAAAGACCTTGGGAAGGTCTGGGTCTAAAATATCCCTGAATGTCAGGCACAGAGCAAAAGGTCCCTGTGCAACCCCAACCTCACCACTAATCCTGTAGAGTCTCTCTTCAGTCACCCAATTAAAGCAAATATCTCCCTACCCCACTGCTCTCAGGTGTCTTGCCGATAAACGAGCTGAAGGGAAAGTTATTACCTTGTATCATGGTGTCTAAACTAAAGTAAGACATCAACAGAGGGACTGTACATAATCATGGACTAGATAAAGTCCATTTTTCTTGGGCCCTCAGAAACTGATCCCCAAGCATTAAAACGGGTGTCTTAATAAATATCTTATCTCCCCGCCACAGAGCCCGGGCTGCAGATAACCAGACAGCCATTACTATACCTCTGAAATAACCCCATTTCCATCAGGGCCACTTCAAACAGGCTCCTCTTTAAAGACTCCCTGCTACTCGCCGAGAGGAGCTGGGCAAGGCTTGAACCTTCCTGGGTGGGGGAGCGAGCAAGGGACAGGGGATTTAATCCAAGTCCCCAAGCAGGGGAGGAGGGTTGCTGCATTGCAATGCATTCTGTTCCACAAATGCACTCTGTGCAATGCACTCTGTAACCACAGAGCAAGACATTCTTGCTGTGAGCCAAAGCCTACATCCATCCCCACCATGCTCTGCATTGGAGTGAACGGTGCTGGGCTCTCACAGTTCTGCTTCCCTGGGCCTGCTCTGCAAAGCAGAGAAAGTTGAGCAAGAAAGCAGTGACACAGCAGGCAGCTTCCATCTCCTTGGAGGAAAAGGCCTTTCAGTGTGTGCCTCCCAGGCTGCAAGGTGATGTCATACAGGTTGCAGTGGACTCCTTTATTAATGCACTATACAGGTGATAGTGGATTTATTAGATATATTGCTGTGATTTCACATTTAATTTACTAAGAATACAATGGTTTGGGCTAGAGGACCCAAGGGAAATCTAGGCAACAGTGAGCAAAAATCCATGAAATTCAATGTAGCACACTAATCATGGAGGCATTATAGTATTAATTGCTATAATGATACACTTCTAATCCTATCTTACACTCCACCACATAATTTCACTGGGTAAGAGAGGAAAAGAATTAAATTTAGTTCAATACAGGCAAGTGTATAACTTAATAGTTTGAATCCTGCACACTCACAGGTTTAGGGCTAATGTCACGCAATGCGCTCCACATGGGGGAAGGAGGATGCCACAAGACTTTTGACACCCTTGCAGAAATCTGGAAGCAATATGGAAAACTCTTAGATTTTTGCTTTTCAAGAGGCAACTCAGCCACATAAAGGATAATTAGAATTCGTTGTAAAGATGATTTATCATGTCTATCATTGTGCTTGAAAAGGCTAGGTCACCCATGAATGCTGATGAAATTTCAAAGATCTGCTCCCCAAGGACTTCCTGCATCTGCTGCCCTCTGAGATGGGGAAATAGCCCGGGGCAAGCTTCTCATTAATACTGCAGGGAAATATAAGCATTTTGTCCGACATAACATTTTCCTTCGGTATTATACCTGACACGATCAGACCTTTAACGTGGTAATAGGGCTCACTTTAAAGTTCGTGTACTTGCTATCTTGCTATCGTGCCCCCCCCCCCCCCCCCCCCAGTTTCAACTGGGTAGCAGCTCTCTCTTTAACAGGCAGTGGTTTGACCCGAAGCACACTTTCTCCCCTAACAAATATTGTATGAGGTGGGCGGAGGTGGTAAAAGCAGCTTTTGATCTTGTTTGTATAATATGAAAAAGGACATCAAAGCGAGGGAAGAGGGGGAGGGAGAGAAAGGAAAGCAGAGCAGGAGTAGCCCTAGTCACTGGAACACCGAATCGCTCATGAACAGCTAAATAAAACGTAATTAGGAAAACACGATAAATTAGTGGTTCTTTAAAGAGCTAGATGGTGGAGTGGGCTGGGAGCGCGGCCAGGGCAGGCGGGCACGTCCCGTTTCGAAGCCAGCCCCGAGGACAACCCAAGCAGAGCCCGAACCTCGGAGGGGGGACGGGAAAGCCCTGGGGCCGACCCCGCGGAGCCCCCCTACCCCGCCGTCCGGGAGGCGGCTCCCGCCGGCCTCATTCCGCTCAGGGAGCCCCGGGGGATGCGGGGCAGCGGCTGTGGGGGGCAGGCGGGGGGAGTCCTGGGGTGTCCGGAGCCGCTCCCCGGGAGAGTGAAGAGAAGCCGGTTTTCCCGCGGGGCGCTGCAGGTTTCGGGGCGTTCCCGGGTGCTCCTCACCGAGGCGGGGGGGGGGGGGGGGGGGGGGGCGCGGAGGGGGACTGGGAGTGGCGGGGGCGCCTGTTTGTTTGGGGTTGGGTTGTTTGTCTGTTTGCCATGTGGCCTCTCCTTTATCTTGATCGGGGGTGGTTGCCGGCACTGGGTTTAATTGATTTGCGGGGCGGGCAGTTGAGACCATCAAGGGAAACTTCAGCCCTTCCAGACGGTACAGAAAATAACGATCGTATCGGTGAAACCAGTGCGAAGAGCAAACACTGCCTCTCCCCCCGTGCATGTTCACAGGCGGATGGGGATGGGGCCACCCCAGAGATCCGGGGGTGCCCAGGTGAAGCTGCAGGGCCGGGCCGGCTGCCTGGGACACAGTCGGGACCCGGAGGGGCCCCAGAGGAGCCCCCCACCCTCACCCAGTTGCCCACTGCAGCCTAAGGGCTGCAAGGGGGAAGAAGCTGGCGGGATGCACCTGCACCAGAACGGCTGGGGGGAAGGACACATAGAAAAGAGTGGCCAAATTCACACCCACACACCTCACCCCCTAAAGGAAGATTTTCTCTCTGTCCCCGAGGTGAGCTAGGCTGGCCAACCCAGTCCTGCCTCCAGGCAGCTCTCCTTCCAGCTCTGTGCCCGGATGCCTCCTTCCCACAACACTGGGGCTCTCACATTACTGGTGCTTCCTTGCCCCCCCTGTGGTCCTGGGGGTTCCAGCCCAGCCTGCAGGACCCCTTTTCAGTTCCCATCACAGTAAGAGCACTACCTGTAATACAAAGACCATGTCCCACCTGTGCTTGGGGTAACTGAGGTGGCTGTCAGTCTGGAGCAAAGCAGGGGCTTAAGCACTCCCCAGGTCATGACCTGCC